CAACTTTAAGTTTGAATTATTTAACCTAACACAGCTAAAGTCATGGTTTGATTTTGGTACCTTCTAAATACACCTTTATCCCAGGAGCCCTCCTAAGACCCTTTTCTGCCCCTGGGCCAGGACACGCTAGACCCTTTCTGCCCCTCCTTCCCCCTGCGAAATTCATCTGAGCTGAGATGTCTCTGAGCTGTTCCAGTTAGAGAAGATGTGATAACGCTTTTCATCTCAAAGATAATATCCTTTGGAAAAAAAGTGTATTTCTGTTTCAAAGTTGATTTGTTTGCATGAACGTTCAGAGGAAAAATAGTCCTGGGGAGATAAAGTTTGAGCCATAGAAAATTTTCAAAACAGGGCTTGCCCCCACTAAAACTGCGGGAAGAGAGTCCAGACAGTTTTGACTATGTTGTTGCTTTTAAGTGGTGCTGTGCCATTCCCTAAGGCAGTGATCCACAACCTTTTTGGCACTAGAGATTGGTTCCATGGAAGATAATCTTTCCTTGGAAGGCAGAGCGCAGGTGCTGATGCGAGCCTCAGGGAGCACCTGTGCGTACAGGTGGAGCAGGCCTGCCGTGCGTCCCACCTCCTGCTGTGCGGCCCCACCCAGCTCCTAAGTTTCAAGGAAGACTATTTTTCCAGGGCTGGGGGTTAGTGGGCCAGTGGAACTCTGCAGCCCAGTCCCTAACAGGCCCGGAGAATGGGGACCACAGCCCTAAGGGACATTTGGGACATCTAGGGAACCACCTTTTATTTTAGTCATGACTAAGCATTAAAATATTGAAATACACCAAAAGTGAGACTGTATTTTTTTAAGTTTCTTCTTTGTATTGGTTTAGAGGGTTATAGTAATTTTTTAAATTATGTGTATGCAAATAGGTTCAGTTTCATATGAATTTCATTTCAAATTAGCAAAGGGGGTATTACAAATGTTACCTAAAGAAAACATTGGCAAGGGACTTTGCCTATGGCTCAGTGAAGAGACCGAATATCTTCTCCCCAAAAAGTAACCATAAAGCTTGACAAAACTGACCAGCCATGAAGCACTTTGGAAATCAACCAAAGGCATGCAACAAATGGAGCAGCATTCGTGCTTGAGAGCTGCAGAGATTTGGGGAGAACAGGGAGCGTCTGCAGCATGTCAGCCTGAGGCTGCGCCCATGCGCCCCGCCCAGCCCAGTCTGCAGGGAGGGTCCCTCTGGGTAGGGCAGGCTGAGGATGGCAGTTTCTCTGCTGTGCCATTCCCTAAGGCAGTGATCCACAACCTTTTTGGCACTAGAGATTGGTTCTATGGAAGATAATCTTTCCATGGAAGGCAGAGCTCAGGTGGTGAAAAGGGCTCCCTTGATTTGGAGCAGCTGGCAGCACCCACTCTTGGCAGCCTTGTCGGTTTAAGTGACAATCCCCAAGGCAGAAAAGCAGGAGGGCCAATGGGTCCTCTAGACTGAGGCTGTGGTCACCACCGGGGCAAATACATTCCTGGCTACGGCCGCATCATGCACAGAGCCAGAAAGGGCCTGATCTAGCCACACTGCCCTGGCCAACCCTGAGGCTGCATGTATATGCAGAAGAGATAAGAAAGAACACAATGGAAAGTAAAAGATAGAGAAAGAGTAAAAATGGCCTGAACTTTGAATGTGCTGCTTATGAAATACCCCCAATGATCCTTGCCTCCCAGCATCAGCGCCCTGTGTAGTCCCCTCTGTCTGGCTGCACCTGACATAGTGACTTGCTCCTAATAAATAGAATATGGCGAGAATGATGGAAGCCACTTCCAAGGTGACACCTTGCCTTGCTTACCTCTGCCTTGCTCTCGCTGTCTGGCGACGCAAGCTGCATCTCATGAGCTGCCCAATGGAAAGGCACATGCCACACGGAACAGAGGGTGGCCTTCTGCCAATAGCCAGCAAAGAACCAGTGCTGTCAGTTCAATGGCCTGCAAAGAACCCAACCCTTCCAAGCACACATGAGGAAAGTGGAGGGAGGGAGATCCTTCCCCAGTCAAGCCTTCAGGTGACTGCGACCTGGCCAACACCTTGACTGTAGCCTGAGTCAGAGGACCCAGCTACTGTAACCAGCTCTATGAACAAATTGCAATAACCCTGGTATGTTTTTTGCATAATCTTCTCCCTTAAATAACTGCTTGGCCTTTGAGCTATTTCCCAGAAATGGTAAATTTTCTGCAAGACAAAGGAGCTGAGATTCTGAGTCCCCTTGGGCAGCCTTCCTGATGCCAAGATTCTCCACCCCCACAGCCTGCCCCAGTGCACACAGCCCTTCCTTGTCAGTTACTCCACAACCTGTCCCAAAGCACAAGGCCCCTCTGAGGCTGCTTATCCCATCCTTCCAACATTAAGACTTCCTTTCTTTCTCGGCAATCCTCAGTGTCTCAATAATTGGATCTTTGTGTAATGAGTAACTTGACCTAGGTCAAAACCCCCATGCAGTTTTGACAACACCAAGGTACACCCACACTCCTGCCCCACAGAGACAGTAATATCATAAATGTTTTTGTTTTAAGCCACTAATCTTTGGGATATCTGATTTTATTATTCTACAATAAAATAATTGATACGGCTCTGCTACCCGCACACAGACTCTTCAGCAGAGGTTTGCTGGCTGGAGGTGTCTGAGCACAATCTCTGTCCAGTTGGATATACAGACACAGAGACAATGCTTAGGAAGCTAGGCTTAAATATTTAAGAAAAGAATATAGAAACCTTAATCAGAAACTTCAGCAGCTTCACATGACAGGAAGACCGGATTCGCAGATTCCTAGACAGGCCTTGCCTGAGTCACAGAGCTGGAAAGTTACTAAATAGAGAAATGAAAAACAACAATAACAAACCATGGGGAGGGAGGATCAAAATCCAAAGTTGCTAAAATATTTTTAATTGACAATGTTGTATATATTTATGGTGTACAACATGATTTGTGTGTGTGTATTTTATATATAAATATTTAAAAAGAGATTCTAAATAAGGAGATAAAAATTATAAAATAATGGAAACTTTAAAGTTAAAAAAGTACAATTGAAATAAAAAATGTACTGGAAAGACTCAACAGTGTGTTATACATGGCAGATGAAACAGTCAATGAACTGGAAGATAGAGTAATAGAAACTATCCCATCTGAGGAATAGAGAGAAAAAAATGATTGAAGAAAAACAAACAGAGCTTAGGGGCCAGTGTGATAACATCAAGCATGCCAACAGATGGATGACCGAAGTCCCAGAAGTAGGAAATAAAGAGACAGGAGCAGGAAAAAAATTGGAAAAAAAATCCAGAATCTGATCTTTAAAAACAAACAAAAAACCATTAAATACATATCCAAGAAGGTCAGCTTCAAGTAAGATAAATACAAAGAGATCCACACCTAGACACATCATAGGCAAACAGTAAAAGGCAAAAATAAAGAAGAAACAGTGAGGAAAAATGACTTATACGTACAGGGGCAGCAATACGATGAACAGCCGACTTCCCACAGAAGACCCTGACGGGCTGAGGCAGCGAGGCGATAGACACAAAGGGCTGGGAAAACGTGTGTATTCATTTGCATAAAACTCAAAAACAGGCAAAACAAATCTGTGCAATTATATCTTAAGATGCTATTTTGCCTTGGAGGGAGGTGATAGCTAGCAGGGGCCACAGGGGGAATTCTGGGGTACTGGTTACACCAATGTCTTCATTTACGATTCTGTCACATTTTTTGGCCTCATTTCTGTGTATAAAACTTTCTTCAATTGAAGTTCACTAAAGCAAAAATGGGAAGCCTAATCATGCCACTCCCTTCCCTCTTTCCCTCTTTTTGAATGCCCTTATCCCTTTCTTCTCTTCCCTTGCTAGTCTGAGCAGAGCCTGTACCCTCCCAGTTCCTGCATGGCCTGGCCCCTACCCACCTCTCTAGCAGCATTTCTCACCACCTGGTACCGCAGACACCTTGACTTCTGTTGTTTGTGCCATGCTCCGTCCTGCCACAGGGCTTTCGCACATGGTCCATAGCTCTTGGCTTAGTCCACTTGGACTTCTATGACAAATTGCCATAAACTTTGTAGCTTATAAACAAAAAACATTTATTTCTCACAATTTTGGAGTCTAGGAATTTCAAAATCAAGTCTCTGGTAGATTCAGTGTCTTGAAAGGAACCACTTCCTTGTTCATAAATAAAACCTTCTCACTGCATCCTCACATGGTGGAAGAGACTAGCTAGCTCTCTGTAGTCTTTTTTATAAGGTCACTAATCCCAATCATGGGAGCTCTGCTGCCCTTGTAACCTCATTCATTCCCAAAGGCACCACCTCCTAACACTGTCACCTTAGGGGTTAGGATTTCAACACATGAATTTTGGCGGGACATGAATGTTGGGACAATAGCAGACTTGTTAAGGTCTATTTACTCTTTAGCTGGAGCTCAAGTGTGACCCACCCACCATCCCATCCAAGTCTGGTTCCATTGTTAGGAGCTTTCATAGAACTGCATTCCTTTTCTTAAGAGATCATTATGGATTCATAAGGTGATTATCTGCTGTCTTGTCTTTCCCAATAGCCTATATGTTTAAGGAGATCTGAGTACATTTTACACCTAAATTGTTTACCCAGTACCACTCCTGACATACGGTCACTGTCTTCACTATCTGTTGAATGAATAAATCAATGTAGAGTAATTGAGCTTATAACAAGCTTCATTCTAATTAGAAAATATTGTAGGAAGCCAGAATGTCAAGCTAAAGTGTTCAGGGGTTTTGCAGTGTTTGAGAAAGTGAGATATGTGAGCTGATCTTTAGTAAGACCTCTGTGGAAGAGGAGAGGCCAGAGGAGGCCATGGCGGAGGCCAGGTGGCAGATGGTGCCTGATGGGGGCAGCGGCCACGCGGGGAGCAGTGGGAGGCGGCCAACATCCCTCCTCCACTCTGACCCCAGGGGCGAGCTCTCAAGCCCGACAGTGACCTCACAATCACTGCCCACACCTGCCAGCCTTCAAGGCCAACATCCCAGCTTCCTGCCGACGCTCCCTTTATGTTCACATCGCGAGGCCACACCCGCCTCTGAGTCACCCAGGCCAGCGAGCGAGGCACAGGACTCGAGGGAGTGTGCAAGCACCGGCCTCCGCCCGTGCACAGCCAGGGCTCCACCATGGCAGAGCAACCGGAGGACCTGAAGGACTTGATGCCCACAGAGAGGAAGTCCATGTGGAGGACCGCCGAGGAGAGGCGCATGTCTGACCTGACCCGCGTGCTAGAGTGGCTGGAGCGGAGGAAGGGGAAGAAGAAGCAGGTGTTCCAAGTGCGTACTGTCAAGGAGGAGCTGCTGGGAGACTGTATGCAGGGCTGTTGCAGTAGGGGAGAGAGGACTGGGCTCTCCGAAACTAGAGGCAGGAGGGCTAGTGGGAAAGCAGGAAGGTAGAGGGAGGCTGGTAAGCACCATCAGGTCCTCTGTGCTTGCTAATCCGGTCGGTGCTTGGCAGGGCTGGGCTCCCCACACACAGCCTGAGGGACAGGGCCTCAAAGGGGTGGCTGCCTTGAGAAAAGCACACCTGGGCTGCAAAACTGGCAAGAGGCCGAGAGAAGATTGACATCTCCAAGGGGCAGAGAAAGAATTCACAAGTGTAAGTTTTCTAAAGTGAATGCTCTAAGGAAAAGGAGGTTGGGGCCTGCTGTCAGGAAGAAAGCCAACTAAAGTTTGGTCAAGCTGTGGGGAATGCTAGTCTTGGTCAGGATTCAAGAAGGGTCAAGGGGCAGCAGTTTCTGGGTCTCCATGTTGGCAGAGTAGGATCGTTCCCACTGTCCCCAGCCACTCCCCTCCTAGGGCCAGGGTCAAAGGGCATTCCTTCCCCACTGCCATCGCCCCCACTGCCATCGCCCCCACTGGGGCTCCTGCTAACATAACTCCTCCTTTCTGCCCTACATCGGAGGTGGTTCTGGGCTGCCCTTTCTTCTTTCTCCAAAAAGAACCAAGTGTGCCTCAGTTTTCCCCAGAGCTCCCCTTGGCCAGTCACCCATGAGAACCCAGCCACGTCCTTGGACAGGCGTGTCCTCTGCAGAGGTCCCAACCTGATCTCGAATGCCCTGCCCCAGAGCACGATGCATGACCAGCGGCGTCACTAATGGTGCTGCTCACCCTATGGCTGGCTCTGACGGGCTGTGAGCCAAACCCTGCCCACACCTGGCACTGCAGGCTGGCTACCCTGCCAACTGCGCCCAGCCGGGCCCACCATGGTGCCACTATGACCCCTGGCTGAAGGATAAGGAAGCTGAGGTGAAGAGAAGTCCTTCTCTTGAGGTCCCAGAGGTAGAATAATAAAGGGCAGAGCCAGGGCTCCAACTCAGACTTACCCAACTCCCAGCCCACAGGCTTGTGAGGAGGCCAGCCCCCCAACCGCCCCTTCCCTGCTTCATCTAGGCCAGCGCCTGCCCCTCAGGAAAGATCCCTTTCTGTTGAAGGTCTTGCTCTCACCCATGGCAAGAAAGATCTCGACTGCCAATTCCACCAGGCACCCTAAAACACATCTGACGGCCACATTCCCCTCGGAGCTCCAGGATTGACACGTGGCTACTGAGGCCCGACTTGGGCAGGGGTGCGGGAGTGCTGGGTCCTCAGAACTCAACTTAATATCGATCACAGAAATTATATTCGCTTCCATACTTAACACATTCCGTTCCATCTCCTTCCACTAGGATTCTATCCTAATAATGTTTTAAAGGCTTTACCTTATATGTGGCTTTTATTGTAAATAATTTTGGACCCAGAGAGGAAACAAATTTACATTGGAAATATAATTAAACTGTCAAGCACCATTAGCATCTGGAGCTTCAAAGAAGCTCTTCAGAAGGAGGGTGGCGCGTCCGTGGCAGGTCCCAGAGAGCAGCAGGTGTCGGGGCCTCCAATGAAGACCGGGGCATCTGCCTGTCCCAGGCACCCTGCAGCCACCTCTCTTCTCTCCCGACTCAGGCCTGGCCACCCAGGCTCTTCCCCACTTCAGACGGCCACCACGCTGCCCCTTGGGATCCATCTGGCACCCGAGAAGACCACTGAGGTCCAGAACCTTGGCCACTGAGGCCACTGAATCAGTGAATGTTGCAGTTTCCTTTGGTCTAAGGCATCAGCATGGAATTCCATTCATTGTGCTTCTCCCAAATGGGGATTTGGGGAGCTACTCAGGTGACTCCTCTGGGGACGCTGAGGACTGTGTGGAGGTGGTGGGTGGAGGGCCACCCTGGAGAAGATGGCTGGCTCTCCTCTCTCAGCCCCAAAATTCAGTCCTGGCCCCAACTTGCAGCCCCCACCCGCTGAGACAAACAAAACCCCAAAGTTAAGCAGCACCACCTTCCTTAGAAGGCAGCCTCCAACAGGAAGCACGGCCCTGGGCAGCGTCCTCCCAAACCCACGCCCTGGCTTCTCCAAGCAGCCTTCCGCCCACGCCTCAGGGAGAGCGGCAGGCCCGAATGCAAGGATCCATTCTTTTCTCACAATAGCCTTATATGTAGATCCTACTATTGTCCTCATCTTCCTGGTAAGGAAACCAAGCCGCAGAAAGAGAGTGCCTTGCCAGGGTTACACAGCCACTCGGCAACCGCAGGGCGGGACTCTGGCCCAGGCCCCCCGGCCTGGACTCCAGCCTGGGCCACTTTCCCTCCACAGCCCGGGCAGCACGTGCCAGAGGAGAGAGTGCATTTCGCACTCCCCACGATGCCCCAGCCCTTACCGATTGGGCGGGCTGCTTCCTGGATGGGCCACCCTTTCCACACCCCTGCTGGGCTCCTCCCTTTCGGGACCCTGGAGATTGCCAGTGACTCCGCCTTCCCTGCCTCCACCGTGGGGGCTGGCAGGCCAGGGACATGCCAGGCACAAGGAGTCAGTGCAGGGCAGGGTGTGCTCAGCTCCTGGACAGGGCGCAAGGAGCACCTGGGGAATAGACAGGCAGGATCAACTGTGATGAGCACTCCAGGAAGACAGGACGGGTGCGGAGGGGGTGACAAGAGGAAGGGGCTCTGGGGCAGAGGGAGAGTCTGGGCTGGGCAAAGTCCAGGGCTCTGAATCAGCAGGACCTGCCGAAAGACAGGGCAGCCTTCCTGGAGTTCCAGACTGGAGGCCAGGACAGAGAAGTCACAGCTAGCAAGGCCACTTAGGGCAAAGGGAATTCCAGGTTGGGGACTGGGGCTGGGGAGGGGACCTTACATGGGGGGTGATGGGGAGCCCATGATGGACCCTGAAGTGGAGAAGGACAAGACCAGACCTGAGGTTTAAAGCTCATTCCGGGGCCAGGGGCATGGGCACCAGGGCATGTCTGGAGGCAGAGCTACAATGAGGGGACAGGAGCCTCCACTTGTGGGCTGAAGCTTTCTTGTTGGTGTTGACAGAGGCGGTGCTGTCCCCACAGGGGTGGCTGCAAGGCTCTCCTCCCTTGTCTTTGCAGCAGCAGAAGAGCAAGGTGACGATAGCCCCTAGCTCAAGTGAGAAGAAGGAAGAGAAGAAAGTCAAAGGTATCCTGAAGAAACATGGAAGGAACCAGGCAGAGACGACTGACGCCCCTAGGCAGGTAACGCGCGCCCCCTCGGTCCTCCAGGCTGAGGCGGGGTGACCGCTCCTCTCCTGTGTGCTGTCTGGCTACTTTTAACACGGAAGACTCCGCAGTCCACTCCTGCCCCACACGAACACCCACACGACGTCTGCCCTGCCCTGTCCAGCATCCCAGCGAACCCTGCATCCCTGCTGGGAGCGTGGTTCTCCGCAGGTGCTGCCTCTTGTCCTGCCCACCTCTCTCCTCCCAGACCACTCAGGAATGCCATCTGAGAGATGAGAGCCCGAGACATGAGGGAGACGGGCATGAGTAAGCAAGCCTGTCTGCCTGGCCTCCTGCCCCTCCAGCCTCGCCTGGGGCCCAGGCTGGTCCTTCCTTTGTCACCTTGCCTGTCTTTTAGCAAACCCTTGAAATCACTCAGTTTGGGGTGAGCCTATTCAGATCTGTCACCAGGATGTAACTTCTCGCCTGCTCCCTCCAAGGCCTCGTGGCAAAGCTCCAATAAGGAAGGGGACCCCATCATCTACCGAAAGGTCTACGGACTGGAGCAAAAGGCAAAACGCCACAGCATAATCTCCGGCAACTACTCCAGGGATATCCCCAGGAAATCTGGTAAGGGAAGCGCATTGGCCCAGGGACACCTAGAATCATCCCCACAATCCCTTCCTCTCAGAGGGACCAAAAGCACAGGCTGTTCCTAGGGCAGCGCCATCCACATCCATGCAACCACTGTGCACACAGGGTTCAGAAACCCACAGAGAGGAGTCCACTAAGGGATCACACCAGGGGTCCCACTTGGCAAGCTGGGTGACACCGGGTAGGAGCTGCCAAGGTCTGCCTGCCCCTGGGTGTTCTCTTTCAGGACGCCAGTATAATGCATCCCAGGTTCCTGAAGCCATTCTGGTGCTATCAACCTCATGAGTTCCAAGATGTGTACCTAACTTAGGTGCTGTGACAATGTCAATTACAGAAGGTACCATACCTGCTGGCCTGAAACCTGCCAGGTGTTGCTCACATCTAGGAAGGGGTAGGCTTAGGTTGTGCCAGATACTCAAACACAAAGGCTACCTGGGTTCTGATCTTGGCTTCACCACTTTGTAAGGAAGTCAGAATTGTATAATGCTGGGCAAGTCACTCCATCTCTGGAGTCCAGTCTTCTCATCTGTAAAATGGAACGATAATAGCATTACCTGCCTCATCATGCAGTTGTGAGGTTTTATTAATAGCAAAATGCTGCATGTAAAGCACCTCTCCTGAGCCAGAGGAGGTGCTCAATAACTGTTAGTGGCTATTTCTTAGTAAAGATTTTGCTAAAATTTCAGGCTGTCTCTGCTATATGCATTCCTTGGCCTCTTGGGATAGAGGGGAATTGTAAAAGAGAAATCTGGAAGGATTCCAGTTAGCCCAAGGGAAAAGTGGGCAAGAGCCTTCAAGCAGGAGCTGCCAGCTCTTCTATGTAATGTTGCCCCATGGTATGCAACAAAAGTCCTTCTTTCTTCCTTTTCATTTATTAAATAATATGCCAAAGCCAATATAACCAAACTATAGTCATTTGCCTGTCAGATTTAAATATAATTGGCTTTAAATGCAGTGTGGATTAAATCCTAGAACAGCTCTTTAGTAGAAAAACTGGTGAGATCCAAAAAAGTTCTGTAATGTGCCAATGTTGATTTCTTAGTTTTAACACATGTACCATGATTATATAGGATGCTAACATTTGGAGAAATTGGATATTAACATTCAGGAGAAGTGGGTGAAGGGTATACAGGAACTCTCTTTATTTTCTTTGTAACTTTTCCATAAATTCATAATTATTCCAAAATATAAAAAGTTTATTTAAAGGATAAAACTATATAGATTGGCTTCTGCCCCATGGGAAGCTCCATACCTTTCCCAAGTTTGCTGTGACCCCCAGTGTCATGTCTGCCTCCAAAGTCTTGGTCCTGCTGGGCCCTTGAGCTTTTGTAAATCTTGCGTCCAGTGGATATTGTCTTCTCCCTGCTCCATGCCCACCCAGACAAAGCAAAGCCTTGTTGCCCTGATTTCTCTCCAGACCTCTCACATGAAACCTTTGTGTATAAGCAGATTTTACTGAAGATTTGAGGGCAACAAAAAGCAAAAATTACATCACAGAATTACACAGCAAACAAATGAGAGGCTGATTATGAGACCCTCTTGTTCACCAGGAGACTTTTCCATGGCTACATTTCCCAGCAGGGAGTGTCCCCCAGATGTTTTCTCCATTCCAAGACTAGGATTAGGGTGAGACAAGCCAAGAACATAGGGCACAAAATTTAAGGAGGCACTCACTCTCAGGTGCCAACTCTGCACTTGCATGGGCCTGAGAGTGACCACCTCCTTAAATTTTGCCCCATGGCCACCTCACTCGCCTCATGCTAGTCCTGGTCTTGCTCAGTTCTCCCTCATCCTCCCTCTTTCCTCTCCCCTCTCCTCCCACCTCTGCCTTCCCCACCCCACACATTCCCATCGGCTTTTTACTTGGAGAGAATTCTTTTTCATTTGTCTTGTTCTGTATCCAAAGTAGCCTATCAGGATATTGTCCTAAACAAAGTCAGATCCTTCCCTAAAAGAAACTCATACCAGCTGATTAAGTAATGAGTACACATGTGGAGGAGACACGGAAGGAGGAATCCTGGGGCTCCACACTCCCCCAACAATCATTGCTATCTGAGCCGCAGGAGGGAGCCCACAGTGCAGAAAGCTGAAGAACTGACATAGGAAACTCTCTGGAGACTGTGCAGTGGCATTGCTCCAAAGGGAAGGCAAAGCAGTGACCCAGTGGGTGGTGAACGGTGAGCACTGTGGCTGGCAAGATGTTAAAATTCTAGACCCAGAGCACTGCCTATACCCAGGGGTCAGATCTGTTCCTGCTACCTCTCCATCACCCCTGCCAGTCCCAGTGGGGAGGGAGCAGGGAAGCCAAGCATTTTCATGTGTCTTGTGGGCAGGACGCCTGTGGAGCACACCCCCACTACCCCTGACAGATGTGGGGGGGCTGACAGTCATTGCCACCTGTTGATGGGAGCAAGGCTGTGCTCTAGCCAGCACACAGCCAACAAACACCATGGCCAGAGGATCTGAATAGGCAGCTCTTAAGCTGCCATGGGCTGACAATCACCACCACCTGCAGTGTGGGCAGAGTTGTGCTCAAGCTGGCATCCCATGTGAGCCCCTCAACCACTGCCACCACAGGGCATGGGCAGGGCTACACTCAAGCCACACAGAGGACAAAAGCTGGTGTCAGCAGATCTGAGTGGAACAGCTCAGGCCAGCATGGGCTGACAATCACCACAACTGACTGAACTCACCCTGCAACACAGGGACCACCAGTGACAACCACAGGGGAACAGTGAGGCAGGAGATGCAAGAGAGCACAGTGTTAAACATTCACAGTGCATCTGCCCATCTGTGCCAGGTCCGTGCTCCAGAGTAGCATGCAAGTGAGCCATCCAGGGACCTCTCCTCCCTTCACTGAGTAGGACAGTTCCCAGCAGAAGAGAACAGGTGCGCTGCAAGCTTACCTATCCCAATCTCAGAGAAGAAATTCCAGATGAGAAGGAACCAGAATAAAAACTTTGGCAACATGAAAAAACAAGCTGTTTTGACACCCTCAAAAGTTCATAACAGGTCTCAAGCAATGGACCACAACCAAAAGGAAATTGTCAAAATGTTAGAGATGGAATTCCAAACATGGATGGCAAATAAGATGAATGGGATTGAAGAGAAAGTTGAAAACCAACACAAAGAAGCCAAAAAAATGTTTCAAGACATTAATGAAAAAAGCGAAAAATTCACTAAAGAGATAGACAACATAAGAAAAGATATAACAGAACTTAAAGAAACGAAAGAGTCATTTAGGGTATTTCAAAGCACAGCAGAAAGCTTTGACAACAGTCTACACCATGAAGGAAGAATTTCAGAGATTGAAGACAAGGCTTTCAAACTAACCCAGTCAGTCAAACATGCAGAAACTAAATAAAGAAGCATTAACAATCACTCAGAGAACTATGAGACTATGCAGTGGACAAATATATGAATTATAGGCATCCCTGAGGGAGAAGTAGAAAAAGCAAAAAGCATGGAAGACCTACTCAAGGGAATTATTGAGAAAAACTTCCCTGGTATCTCCAGAGATTCAAAGATCCAGATATAAGATGGTCATCAAGTGCCAGGAAGATTCATAGCAAACAGGGTATCTCCAATACATACAGTCACCAACCTGGCCAAAGTCAAAATGAAGGAGAAAATTCTATAAGCTGCAAGATGAAAGCAACAACTAATCTACAAAGGAAAACCCATCAGGCTAATAGCAGACTTCTCAGTAGAGACCTGACAAGCCAGAAGTGACTAGGGCCCCATTTTCCATCCTCTTAAACAAAATAACTGCCAACCAAAAATTTTATATCCTGCAAAACTAAGTTTCAAAAATGATGGAGACATAAAAACTTTTCCAGACAAGGAAACACTAAGGGAATTCGTCATGACTAGACCTGCCCTACAGGAAATGCTCAGAACTGCATTATATGTGGAGCAGCACATTAGATACCCACCAGTGTAAAAACAGCTGAAAGCTAAAACTCACAGCTCTAATAAAACCATAGCACAGGAGAGAAAACAAAGCAATAAGATATCATCCAACATGATGAAGGGGACAGTATCCCACATACCAACACTAAATGTAAATGGTCTTAATGATCTACTTAAAAGACATAGACTGGCTGAATGGATGAAAAAATAAACCCCAAGTGTATGCTGTCTCCAAGAAATGCATCTAACTTGCAAGGAATCACACAGACTCAAGGTAAAGGGATAGAAAAAATATTCCATGCAAATGAAAACCAAAAGTGAGCAGGTATAGTCATTCTCATATCAGATAAAATAGTCTTTAAATCAACAATGGTAAAAAAAAAAAAACCCACAAAGATGGTAATTATATAATGGTAAAGGGAGCAATTCAACAAGAAGGCGTAACAATCCTAAATATATATGCACCTAACATAGGAACCCCCAGATTTATAATGCAAATTCTACTAGATCTAAGCAAAGAAATAAATAGTAGAATCATAATTGCTGGGGACTTCAACACCCCACTGACAGAATCGTACAGATCACTGAAGTAGAAAATCAATAAAGAAACACAGAGCCGGGCGTGGTGGCTCATGCCTGTAATCCTAGTACTTTGGGAGGCTGAGGCGGGCGGATTGCTCAAGGTCAGGAGTTCGAAACCAGCCTGAGCAAGACCCCGTCTCTACCAAAAATAGAAATAAATTAATTGACCAACTAAAAATATATATACAAAAAATTAGCCGGGCATGGTGGTGCATGCCTGTAGTCCCAGCTACTCGGGAGGCTGAGGCAGTAGGATCGCTGAGCCCCAGAGATTGAGGTTGCTGTGAGCCAGGCTGACGCCACGGCACTCACTCTAGCCTGGGCAACAAAGTGAGACTCTTGTCTCAAAAAAAAAAAAAAAAAAAGAAGCACAGAGCTTAAACAGGACTCTAGAACAAATGGACCTAACAGATATTTACAGAACATTCTACCCCAAACTACTGAATATACATTCTCCTCACCAGCACATGGGACATTTTCCAGGATTGCACATATCTTAGGCCATAAAACAGTCTTAGCAAATTTAACAAAATGAAGATCATACCATGTATCTTCTCAGAACACAGTGGAATAAACTAGAATTCAATCTAAGAGAAACACTCAATTCTACACAAAGTCATGGAAATGAAACAACCTGCTGCTGAACGATCCTTGGATCAATGATGACATTAAACTGGAAATAAAAAGATTTCTCAAACTAAATGATAAAGGAAACATAAGCTCTGAAAGCTCTATGGGACACAGATAAAGCAGTCCTAAGGGGAAAATTCATAGCCTTAAATGTCTACATCAAAAGACAGAAAGATCACAAATTAACAACCTAACATTACATCTCAAGGAGCTAGAAAAAAAAAAAAGCAAACCAAACCCAAAGCCAGCAGAAGAAAAGAAGTAACAAAGTTCATAAAAGAACTAAACAAAATGGAAACCAAGAAAACAATACAAAAGGTCAATGAAACAAAACCTCTTCTTTGAAGAGATAAGCAAAATCCATGGATTACTAGCTAGGTTAATCAGAAATAGGAGAGAAAGGACTCAAATAAGCTCAATCAGAAATGAAAAAGGAGACATTGCAACTGATACCACAGAAATACAAAATATCATCTGTGAATACTATGAAAATCTTTACACAAACTAGAAAGTGTAGAGGAAATGCACAAATTCCTGGAAAAACACAACCGCCCAATCCTGAATCAGGAAGAAATAGAAATCCCAAAAAGATCAATAATGAGCAGTAAGATTGACGCAGTAATAAAAATCTACCAATAAAAAGAAGCCCTGGGCCATATGGAGTCACAGCTAAATTCCACCAAACCCACAAAGAAGTACTGGTACCTATCCTACAAAAATTATTCCATAATACTGAGAAGGAGGGACCCCTCCCTAACTCACTCTGTGAAGCCAGTATCACCTTGAGACCAAAGCCAGGAAAGGATGCAACAAAAAAGAAAACTACAGAGTGATATATCCCTTATGAACATAGAAATAAAAATCTTCTACACAGCAAAGGAACCAATCAACAAAATAAAAAGGCAACCGAAGATTGAGAGAAAATATTTGCAAACCGTATATCTAATAAGGAGTTAATATCCAAAATATACAAAGAACTCATAAAACTAAGCAAGAAAAAAAATCTGATTTAAAAATGAACAAAGGACCTAAAAAGACATTTTTCCAAAGAAGACATACAACTGGCCAACAGATACATGAATAGGTGTTCAACTTCATTTATCACAGAGAAATCCAAATCAAAACCACAATAAGGTATTATCTCACACATGTTAGAATGGCTATTACCAACAAGATGAGAGGTAATAAGTATTGACTAGGATGTGGGGAAAAGGGAACCCCATGCACTGTTGGTGCGAACATAAATTGGTATAGACATTCTAGAAAACACTGTGAAAATTCCTTAAAAACTTAAAAATAGAACTTTTATATGATCCAGCAATTCCACCTCTGAGTATATATCTGAAGGAGACAAAATCAATACCTCAAAGAGGTGTCTGCACACCCATGTTCACTGCTGCACTATTCACAATAACCAAGACATGCAAACAACCTGAGTGTCTACTGATGGATGAATGGCTAAGGAAAGTGTGGCATAATGTGCAAGGGAACATTATCCAGCCATAAAAAAGGAAGGAAATCCTGCCATTTACAGCAAAACAGATGTACCTGGAAGGCACCGTGTTGACTAAAATAACCCGGACGGAGAAAGACAACTATTGTATGTTTTCATATATGTGGAATCTAAAAACTTGAACTCATAAAAGTAGAGTAGAAGGTTGCCAGGGCTGGGGTGGGAGAAATGGAGAAATGTTGGTCAAAGAGCATAAATGTTCAGTTATAAGATAAATAAGTTCTGGAGATCCGGCGTACAGCATGGTGGCTATAGTTAATAATGCTGTATTATATACTTGAAATTTGCTAAGAAAGTAGATCTTAATTGTTCTCACTACACACACACAAGGGTAACGGACGTGTTACCTAACATATTATAGTAATCATTTCACAATATATACATTCATTAAGTCATCACCGTGTACACCTTAAATATATATAATTTCATTTTTCAATTATACCTCAATAAATATAAAATGTAAAAATAAAGATAAATAGAGCTTCTTGTAGGTACCATATGATTGGTCCTATACAGTGACAATCTCAGTCTTCTAATTAAGATATTTAGACCATTTACACTGAATGTTAGTACAGGTGAGGTTGGGTTTAAATCTACTATCTTGACATTTGTTTCTAGTTTGTTCCATCTGTCCTTTGCTCTCTCCTTCTTCTTTCTCTGCCTTCTCTTAGAACAAGTATTAGTTAGGACTCCATTTCATCCTTTTTGTTAGCTTCTTAGCCATGACTCTCTGTGCATTATTTTAGTGATTGTGTTATGGTGTACAGTACACATCTTTAAGTCATTGCAGTCTCCCTTCACTTCCTGGAAAGCATAAGAAACTTACAAGAGTATACTTCTACTCCTGCCCCAGCCTCCATGATGCTGTTGCCACATATTTTTCCAAGAGTTATAAACTCCACAATAGATTCTTGGTTTTTTTTCCCTTCAACAACTATATTTTAAAGAGATTTTTATGTTTACCCACATTTTAACATTTCCAGTGCACTTCATGCCTGCACATAGATCCAGATTTCTCTATGGAGTCATTTCCTTGCACCTGAAGGTCTCCCTTTAACATAATATGTGATGGAGGTTTGTTGGTAATAAATTCTTATAGCTTCCAAAAAGATCTTTATTTTACTTTTGTTTATGAAAGGTAATTTTGCTGAGTGTAGACTTTTAGATTGACAGCCTTTCTTCTTTAAAGATGTGCTCTCCTGTCTTCTAGCTTGCATGGCTTCCAATGGGAAGTTGGCTATCATCCTAATCTTTGTTCCTTTTTAATGTATCTTTTTTTCTATGGCTTCTTTTAAGATTTTCTTTTTAAGCAATTTGATTATGATGTGCCTTAATGTTGTTTGCTCCATGTTTCTTGTGTTTGAGGTTTGTTGAGATTCTTAGCTTGATTTTTTGCAATTATTTCTTCAAATTTTTTTCACTCCTCCATTTTCTCCTCTCCCCTTCAGGTAAGCCAATTACATGTATTTAAAGTTCTACAACTCATTGGGTTTTTAAAAATCTTTCAGTCTTTTCTCTTTGTGTTTCATTTTGTGTAATTTCTGTTGCTATGTCTTCAAGTTCAGAAATCTTTTCTTCTCTAATGCCTAATCTGTGGTTAATCCCATTCAATAGAATTTTCATATCAAACGTTAACATTTTCATCTCTATAACTTCAATTTGGGCCTTTTTTAATCTTCTGTGCCTCTCCTTAATGTGCTCATGCCTTGGTGAACATAATGGAGTATATCTATAATAGCTGTTTTAGTCTACCAAGTCTATCATCTGAAAGTCGAATGGCACATACAGACTACTGAGAGTAAAGACCTACAACCTCATAATCCTGTCACCAGCCCACATATAAGTCACCATGAGGGTAAATGAATGATATTTGCAGATTTGGAAATATTTAGGGACTGTATCAGCCATGTATCCCTTCAACTGCAGAAAATACTCCAGAAGAGAGCAGAGACACCGGATTAGGAAATAATTGGGTTAGAAATAAAAATCTAGGTACACACTTAAAACCAGATGATATAGAAAGATTGATAACAAAAGGGAGGGCAAAGAAACAAGGAAAATGCAATGTGTCAAGAAGAATATAGAAGTTTTATAAATATTAAAAGGAAGATATCTTTGTTTTTCCCTGATATGATACATATTTGCAAAACTCAAGAAATTCTAGTTAAAAATTCATCAAATTTGCTATGATTGTTGGTATACCAAATACAGTTCTAAAAACCAATAGACTTTTCTCTGTACTAGTCATACTAGTGAGAAATGGAAATAAGTAGAAAGTATTCCATTCTCATAAGTAACAATATGTAAAATACTTAGGAGTAAACTTAACAAGAAGAAAGAATTAAAGTCTGCAAGCTCTAGCCCCACCAATATTTATTCAGTGCGAGCTCAATATTTGGGTCAGATCAGACACTCCCCGTCTCATCGCATGTGTCCATGCCTGGTGCGTGCAGTTCCTCAGCCTACAATCCTTCCTTTTCTAACTGATAAACAATCTGTCCTTTAAAATCCAGCATGAAGTTTTTCTCCTCTGATACCTTCCGCTGTCTCCTCTAGGCTCATTCTTTTTAGCTGAACTCCTTTTCAGGAGGAAGGTAGGAGAGATTGAAATAAGGGGAAAGAGGGAAAAGGAAGGGCTGGGAAGCAGGGAGAAAGGAGGGAGGAAGAAAAGGACGACTGAAGTTAAATAAATGCTAGGAAGGACAACCTGCAGAAGCCTTGACAAGACCATATGTCAGAGCAGGTGTAATTTGAGGCCCATGCATTCTCTCAGCCCTCCTCCCCTTCCTGCTTACCCCACCTCTCACCCCTCCCAGGATCTAACTCCTCTGTGACATCTGTCCAATTTCAGACTTAGACATCAAAGACGTGATTGCCTTAGAGTCCCTGCAGCGGCCAACCTCATTCCGTCGGCAAAGCGTGGCCATAGATCCCAGCTTACAGGACAGCCTCTATGGCACCCGGAGGGTGCCTTTCTCGAGAGAATGGTCCAGCAAGACATCCGACTCCCTTTATGAACGCAAGCTCAAGAGTCTCTTGGAGAAAGGCACGGAGCCCAAGATTGAGACTGCAAAAATGCTGAAGCCGGAGGAGGTGCTGAGCTGCCGGTGAGCAGCCCTGTGTGGGCGGGCGCGGCACATCCTAGGAGCACAGGCCGGGATCGCTGCTGTCGCAGGCTCACACACCTGGGTGGTGGGGCGTGGCACGTCCTAGAACAGGCTTGGATCACTGCTGTCTCTGGCTTGGACACCGGGGCTGAGCCTGAAGACCTTGCAGGGGGGACTCGGTGTGGCCGAGCTCTGTCCTTAGGTCCTAAGGGACTGCTCCAGGGCTGAAGCCATTGGGTTTCCAGCTCACCTGCCAGTGGACCTGCCCCTGAATGGGCACGTCATTTAGGTGCTGCCATTTTGACACCACACCTTGGGACACTTACACAACCCTCCCAATATTTGCATTTGTTTCATAATAGAAACATGGCTATTATCCACAAAAGGAAAGAATGAGTTGTTCCTGGCCTTGTTTTAACAAGAAATCTCCCTAAGACCCCTCACACAGTGGTGTTGAATTGCTGATGGTGGGGGCCGCTGTCCCTAGGGCTACCTGCAGGGCCTTTGGGGTTTTACACTCTCAAGGTATCACAAACAAGGTGTGAAACCGTTTGGTGCTTGCTGCTCTTACCAAAGGGTGTCCCTTCTTACTTGCTCTCTGTCCTATTTATCAGGACCTGCTAGTTTTCAGCAACAGTCTACAGCCTGGTTCCCCCTCCAAAATAAGCCTCAAAGATCCCTCCCCCTAGACCAGTGTTATCCTTCACTGTAAAAATGCAATTGACAAGTTCAGAAACTTTAGAAGGGAAGAAAAGGAAAACCAGAATAATGTAGTCGTAGTCCTTGTAAAGTCGACAGCAGCAAACTCATCTGCAGATGAACATAGGCTTGAACGCCTGGCAATCAAACGGCCCCATGGCAAAATCCTGCCCTGCTCACTGGCCAACTGAGGGGTGGATGGTGGCATGGTTAACCGGCTTACACATAAACTCCCACTACTCTGTGGTGGCCCACTGTCCTACAAGGTCTCGGTCGGCTCCACGATTGTCTGGGAGACCCAGTCCCTTGTGGAAGACCCATACTTACTGCTGCTTAAATCTAAGCCCTTTCTAATCAAGTTTGAAGCGATCAGGCAGACACCCTGGCTGGTGGCCCTTGCTGGCTGGTTCCATGGCTGCATGGCTCGAAACTCCGGCTTTCACCTTGACAAGGGGGTTCTAGCTGACTCTGACCAGCAGACAGCCCACCTGGCCTCCATGGTGTGGAGAACAGAGATTTGGGCAGGACTCCCACCCTCTGAGAAGGTGGAAAATTGTTTGGAGAGATGGCATATGATGCTGTTAGAAAAACATTCAAGAAAAGGATGAACTAGTGCAGAATGGACGTGCCACAGGTACAGATGTGTGAGACATGTGTCATGGGAGGACAGGGTGGACGGTGACTGGAGCTGTAAGGGAGAAGGTGGCCCAGGTGTGGGAGTTGGTGAGGGTCAGAGGTAAGCTCTGGGGAGATCGAAAGGAGAACGGTGGCCATTCCCAACAGGCAGAAAACAGAGCGCATCAACATGCAGCTCGGCTCCCGTCACCTGTAGGCACGTCACCAAGCAGCAGGCAGCGCGAGTAGGAGACCTGCCCCCAGACCAGAGCTGAGACCAAGGTCCAGGCTGATGGTGGGGCTCTTTGGACATGATGGCAGAGATGCTGTCTGGGTCACACAACACAAAAGGGATCAAAGCCATTCTTCAGGGTAGATCAGAAGTATGGGGCTTTAGCTAACATTTTAAATCAATGGCCTTGATGTTTTAATTGTTTGGCTATTATTGAAAGAAGAAGCTCACCTCTATCCCTGCAACTTTGCCCAGCCGTGATTTCCAGAGCCCTAACCATCTCAGCTCATGCTCATCTTCCAGTGATGGGACACGTAACAATTTGCATTCCGATTTTTCTCCCTACTTGGCATAATCTCACAATCATGTTGTACCTTCTTTTTCCTAATGCCATTTTAATTATGAGTCCTTGAAATAATGGTCAGTTATTTGCCTAACCATTCTTCTGTTAATGAAATTACTTATTTTCCTGTTGTTTATATCTCAAAATGAACATCTTCTATTTATATAGCTTTTCTTTCCATTGACTTTTCTTGGGCTGAGTTGGGACCCTAGCAGAGTTACTGAGTCCAAAGGTAATGAACGTTTTTTCTTTGGAGGGAATTCATTTCCAAGAGCTACACCAACATAAACTCCCGCCACCTCTGTGGTGTCCCACTGTCCTACAAGGTCTCTGTCAGCTCCACGGAGTCGGGAAGAACCAATCCCTTGAGAGGACCCATACTCACTGCTGCTTAAATCTAAGCTGTTTTGATAAAGTTAGAGGTTATTGTGACTCCACCTTCAACTGACCTCTTTGGCCTTCTCTTGCACAGATACCTGAGGTTGTCCAAGAACAACATCCGCACCCTGCTCAAGCTGTGCAGGGATGCAGGGATGAACGTGGACATCCACCCCCACATGGTTGAGTCGGAGATAGACGCTAAAAAGGTGTTCAGCCGAATCCACAGTGTGGCCCTCTGAATGGCTCTCGCCGCCACCTTCCGCCTCCTGCTCTTGGACCCTTTGCCACCAGATGCCACCCTCTGGCACACTACCAGTGGCTCTGCAGACTTAGTGCGTCCCTGTAGACAGTAACAACCAGAAAACAAGCCTAGACAGCATGGATCATTGTGCCAGTGTAAGATTTGTCCTCGACATCCAAGTCAAAAGCAATTTAGGAGAAACTTTTTTCTCCCTGCCAATAGAAGACTCCTTAGAAAGGGCTCTGAGAAAGGAAGTCTTAGAAGGAGTGAGAAAATGGGGGCCCGGAGCCCCCAGGAGGACTTTGGGAAGGACAAAGTGTTGGGGGTCTGGTTGAGGACAACACACCCCACATCCTGTGCAGGACTTGGCGGTGTGGAGAGCCAGCCCTCTGGTGTCCGTGTGGTGAGAGGGCAAGCCCAGCACTGCGTGGAAGCAGGGAGGGCCCTTGCAGGCACAGCTCCCCCGGGGCCCTGGGGCCTTGCAAAGGTTGTAGGCACTTCTATAGCAGTAGGTCCAGGACCTTATGATGCATTTGAAGAGAAGAAGCCACAGGGGGCAAAGAGCTTGCTCAGGGCCACACAGACGAGGTGGCAGGGCTGGGATGCTAGCAGCATCCTCACCTTGGCTGCAGGCTCCTGCTCTGCCTTCTTGTGTGATGGAGATGGTAGCAAATCATGCAGGGCTGTCTAGAGACACAGCCTTCCACCCCAGCATGTGGGCCAGCCGAGGTCACACTCGGCCCTTCTAGTCTCTGCAAGCACTTCAAGTAAGTTGGGACCCCAATCACCCCACTTACTAGCTGTGTGACTTCAGGCAAGTTACTTTACCTTTCTGTGCCTTTGTTTCCTCATCTGTAAAATGGGACTACTGATGGCCCATACTGAGCAGGGCTGCTGCGAAGAGTAAATGGGCACTTTCAGGGGAAGCACGAGGCACAGTTGTTAACACACCTAAGAACTCAATAAAAACGTGAAAACATGAACTGTTCCCATAGTCCCCTGGAGGGATACTCAAAACTGAGAATGTCAAGCCCTATTTAAAAGCTACTGATATCAAACCACCTCCCTTTATGGCAAACCCAAAATTCTAATGGCCCCTGAGCCCCCGAGAGCCAGTGCTCACGCCCAGGGGCCTGGACTCCCAGAGGGAATCAGGGCAGCCATCCAGCCAGGCCAGGATCTCACTCTCTGACTCCGCGTCCCAAAAGGGCAGGGATATTCCCTCCATGTGCTTTTTAAATTTCCACACCCCGCCTGGCAGTCCTAGAGCGCTCCCTGGGAGGCTGTCTCCGCTGAGAGCCGCTGCCTTTGGGGGCGGAGAGAGGCCCTGGAGGCTGCCAGACCCGCCTGCCGGCCCCACCGCCCGCTAGACGTGCTGTCCCCGCTGGCAAACGCAGCGCCCCAGAGGCGCAAGCAGGCCAGGGAGGCGGGAGCCCGAGCTCGCACCCCTGCCTGGTCTAGGCGGATGCCCCCGCGAGGTCCGCCGACAGCCGGAATCCCGGGAAACCGGCAGCAAGAGACGACATGGACGGCGTGGCACTCTGTCCCTGCAGTAGCACCTGTTCCTTTGCAAGGAATGCTCTTCACAACGGGGAAAGGAAACGTTTTCTGAGCATCGCCGAGTGCCAGGCACTTAGCCCAAGTTACTCTAACCAAAATCACCCGAAAACGTCCCTATGAGCCTCCGCCTGGGCGCCGCAGACTCAGTGGCAGCGCGAGGCCTGCCGGCCGCCCCTGCGCGCTCTGCCTCCGCTGCCGCGGTCGCCCGCCCTCTCACTCACACCCGCGCTAGGAGACGCACCTGCAATGTCTAGTCGATGCTCATATCGGGAAGGACGCGCAGGAGCAACAAATGAGCGACAGATAAAATGGCCCTGGAAAGACTTGTCAGGCATAATAACTGCAGCAATGTAGTGTGACAATGACCATTCAGCCTTTTCATCTTCAGAGTTGTTTCTCCCACAGTTTTCTGCCGTACAACTCAGTTTGGTTAGCTCGGCCGTATGCTTGCCACATCCCTCTCTAAAATGCAGTGGCCAAAAAGGGACCCAGGATAAGGCATGAGGCCAGTGCCTGAATTCCTTTCTTATAACTAGGACTGATGTCAGGGTGACATATAGCTTTTATTTATTTATTCATTTTCTTCCCCTTCACGAATTGCATTACATGTTATATAATTGACTTGCTGTGTTACCCTTGTGGTCCACTAAGATCCCTGGATCCTTTCCTGCAGAAGTGAAGCTCCACTCCTCCACAACTCACTAGGATCCCTGTGTGTAGGAAGGTGTTCAGGGAGAGGAAAGCCCAGCCCTTCCAATGTCACAGAGAAGCCAGGGGAGGTGCCAGCAGCCTGGCCTTCATCAGGACCTCTCCTCACTTAGTGGCCTGTTTAGGGTGATGGGTAGCAGGGGATGTTTGTGATCCCAACACTCCATTATCTCCGTTGCAGCCACCCTCGGTTCCTCCATGTCCACCCAGAGGCCACATGTTCCCTGACCTGTCACAGGGCTAGTTCTGTGGACAGTCAGACACAGAAGACCTTGAGGTCACCTAGTCCATTGGCTTCTGATCATAAGCACGCACTCTGATGCTCACTCGTCACATAGCTGCCGGGCACCTTCCAGGCCCGACGGGAGCGTCAGGGTACAGTCCTTAAAAAGACTTGACCCTAACCACATGGGGTTCATAGGCCCAAAGACGGAGGAGTGACTTGTTAATCAAGCCCAGCGTGAAGTGCGGTGAAGGGAATCACGTGTGGTGAGAGAGCCAGGAGGACCCCACCAGGGACTGGGAGCAGGGGGAACAGAAAAGCCTTTTGGGGAAAGAGACTTCTACTGTAAAGCCTTTGAGAATAAATAGGGGTCACCAAGATCTTTGTGTGAGAGGGAAAGGCAGGCAGAGGGAAGAGAGTGTGCAAAGGCTCAGAGGCCAGAGGTAGCCTGGCATGTCAAGGAACCTGCAAGTAGCTCAGTCTGGTCAGTGTGAACAGGATCGACAGGGAGTGAGGTGGAGCAGATGCCGTGTACAGAGGGTTTGCAAGCTATGCTACAAAGGTGTTTTTTCTTTGGAGTTATTATTCATTCATTTAGCAAATATTGATTGAATACCTGCCACGAACCAGAAACTGTTTAACTGCCAGGGACATGGCAATGAACAAAACATACGTTCTTGCTTGCATGGCGCTTGCCCCACAGTTGGGGAGACAATGACATGCACTCAACAGACGGATTACCCGCAAGTGACACAAAAGACTCCAGTGCGTCATGAGAAGATAAAAATGGCAGAATGAAAGACAATGGCTGGGCAGACGGGAGGGGAGGATGGCTCTAGGCAGCGTGGTCAGGCAGCCCTTCCAGAGGAAATCCTGGAGTTCACACTTGGAGGGTGAGGGAGGCAGCCATGCGCAGACGCAGGGAAGACTGCTCCAGCACAGGCAGCTCGTGGGACTCAAAGGAAGGTCATGTGGCTGAAGCAGAGTGAGGACAGGAGAAAACCAGAGGCAGCTGGGCAGGTCAGGCCTTGTAGGCTGTGGTCCAGAGTTCAGGGGTCATCCTAGTGGTGACAGGAAACCATATTGGAGGGTGCTAAGTAGAGAAGAGACCCTCTGGCTTCTGCGGATGAGTTAAGGATGAGTGTATCAGTCAGCTACAGCCGTGTAATAAAGTATTCCCAAAATATAGTTTAAAACAATACAATTTCTCATGAGTCCACACGTCAGTCGAGCAGCTCTGCTGGTCTTAACCAGGCTCGGCTGACCTCCCCTGGGCTCCCGTGTCTGTGGTCAGCTCGCGAGTTAGCTGGGGGCTGGCTGGTCTCTGAGCCACACAGATCATCCTGCAACAGGCTAGCCTGGGCTTGTGCTCGTGACAGTGGCCACGTTCCAACAAGTAAGCAAGGCCTCTTGAGGCCTGGGCTCAGAACTGGCACACGGTCACTCTTACCTCAGTCCATGGTGGCCAACACGAGTCCCAAGGTCCGCTCGGATGTACGGGTGGAGAAGTGGACTGTACCCAGAGAAGGGAGGCGCTGCGAAGTCACACAGCAAAGGGCCCGGCTGCGGAGAGTAACACGGCCTGCGGCCATGTCTGCATCAGCCGGCGCAGGGCGACCGTGCAGTTCAAGAGAGAGAAGGTGGAGCCTGGAAGCAGGTGGCCTCGGTGGCAGCAGGTGACTGAGAATGCATTTTGAAGGCAGAGCTGAAAGCACTCGTGCCTGGGTTGGATGTGGCGCAGGGGAGGCCTCGGGAGAGAGCCGAGTGCGTGGGTGGCTGCCGCGCCCCGGAGCGGGAGAGAGGAGGCGGCCCGCGGCGGCAGGCAGAGCCGGCTCGCTGGGAGACGCCGACCGGCGCTCCAGCGGTCAGTGAGGGGCCAGGGACTGGTTTGGAGAAGGAAAGTGACCATGTGGTGAAGGTCGGGTCACAGCAGCAAGCCCAGAGCCAGGATGTGTTCGTCCCAGAGCCACGGCAGCAAAGCACGACAAGCTGGGTGGCTGAACCCAGCAGACATTTATTTTCTCGTGGTTCTGGAAACTAGAAGTCCAAAATCAAGGTGGCAGCAGGGCCATGCTCCCTCCAAAAGCTCTAGGGGCGAGTCTTTCCTTCTGCCTTCAGCTTCCGGCCCCCAGTGCCCCTTGCTTGCTGCAGCGCAGCTCCCGTCTCTGCCTCGTCTCCTCGTGGCCGCTTGCCCAGGTGTCTGTCTCCTCCTCTTACAAGGACACCACTCAGATGAATTAGGGCCCAGGCTAATGACCTCATCATGACCCGATTTTATCTGCGAAGGCCCCATTTCCAGGCACGGTACGATTCCAGGTGATGCCCACATACCGTGTGGGAGGACACGATCCGACCCATAGCACAGGGCGGCCACCGGCCAGGGCTCAGAGGCCCAGAGAGGGGCAGAGAGTTCCCCCAGGTCCCCCTGAGTTCGTGGCAGAGTTGGCACAGGAACCCACAGATCTGGCACATCCTCTGACCTTGGCCCCCAGCCACACCGCTGCCCATACCTCCTGTCTCTGCCCAGCGAAAGCGCCAGAGCTCAAGCCCCACCACTGCCCTTCCCGGGTACAATCAGAGCCAGGCCTGGGGAGATTCTCTCCTGTGCCCCCAGGGCCCCGTTCCTCCAATCACTTATCACCATGTAAACC